TGTGTCGTTAAAATTTCGTCGGAACAAAGTTACGGAAAAATCAATTAACAAACGGAGACGTAACAATATTATAAAACGTGAATACATACATAAATACAAACAATTTACAAAATGAAAATCGTTATATTTTTAAACTTACAAAGCAGGTTTGTAGAGCACACAAAAAAAAACATAATGAAAAGTGTACTAAATTCCCAGAATGTTAGTTAAAAGTTCGTTTCAAAGAGTTATTTATCAAATTCTAAAAAGTTTAATATACACATACAGTTAAAACAAGTTAGTACAACTTTTTCGTCTCCTTTGAGAAATATTTGAACTAACCCACTCACACTACAAACGTAGGCCTCTTCCAACTGTCTTGAAGGATTAATCTATTAGCAACTTTTATTAAGGCACCTTTTAATACTCCAAGCTATCACAACGTTTGGCATGTTACAGTCCAATGCAAGATGAAGAAAGAAAGATCTCACATCTATCGTGCTCTAAATTACAAGTGAACAGCAGTATCACGTCCGATCCATTATAACTTAATTCCAAATCGATAACAGAAATATTGATAAATAACACAAGAAACTATGAGCTAAGTATTCTCAAGCTTATCTTACAGCGATCTTGTCTGGGATTTGATTGTTTTTTTTTTAATTTCGCGCAAAGCTACACGAGGGCTATCTGCGCTAGCCGTCCCTAATTTAGCAGTGTAAGACTAGAGGGAAAGTAGCTAGTCATCACCACCCACCGCCAACTCTTAGTGTGATTGACCGTCACATTATAACGCCCCCACGGCTGAAAGGGCGAGCATGTTTGGTGGGACGGGGATTCGAACCCGCGAACCTCAGATTGCGAGTCGAGCGCCTTATCCACCTGGCCATGCTGGGATTTGAACTCGACAGTTTCACATGATAATCGATCATGATAACCACTGTGACACACACATTTTATAACTAAACCTTAATAAATAATTCAAATTCCTAATGTAAAGTATTGTGTTATTGTGTTTTTCTTACTATTGTAATATCTTTTTATAGACGTGATGAGTTATTAATTAAAAAACGTTAAACAAAATCCCCACTCGAGTAGGATCTAAATTCGAGACTTCTGCTTGAGACAAACCATTGAGACAATTCATACGTTATCAAAGAGAGTCGAGCGTTACCAGCAGAGGAAACGTTCAGAACAAAGAGTGGCCTTTATTATATAGATATATATCTGTTTGTGAGGAGTCGGATGAGCAGGCGCTAGTGTCCATATGAGACACTGATATAGACCTCCTAATTATTATGACTGGGATGAACTCCTTGACCAAAATCAATGAATGAAAGGAAATGGCGTTCCTTGCTTTCTGAGCTGTTGCGTGGTGTTTCACAGAAAGATGTCCTGAGGACATCGTGTGATAACCATTCAGTTATTGTATACAGTTAGAACAGTTTGTTGACTAAAAGATCAACAGCTGAAAGGGCATTGTGACCGTTACTTTTCGAGCTGTAGAGTGATATTTAGTAGTGAGACATTGGTCAAACGCTTTGCAATAATCATTTAACCTATTTATTTGAGTTTTAGCAGAATTCTGTGGAACATTCCGCAAGAAATTCGCTACATACATAACTAGGACAGCTGAGATTGCTAGTTAAATTCCTAGAGAAATTGATGATTGGTCTCAAATGTTGATGAGGGCTGAGAATTCTGACAAACCAACATGATGAAAGGACTTTGCAATACTTGCTTAATGAACATGCATATTAAGTTTCATGGTGGATGTTGATAGGTATTTACTGGTAGAAGCTTCTTGATTTATAATTATGTTTGATTTTTATGACCGAACTATTTCTGAGCTTTATGGATATTACTAAACGTTTTACCTTGTTATTACTTTTGGTAGTCATTATGTTATAGCATAATTTAAGTCTTGACAATTGATTAGATCAAATCAGACACGATTTACTTATTTCTTTGGATTACATTTAACTTGTGTTTATTTGTAGTTAAGCACAAAGCTACACAATGGGGTATATGTACTGTGCCCAACACTGGTGTTGAAACTCAGTTTTTAGCATTATAAGCCTTCAGATTTACCTCTGAGCCACTGGGGGGGGGGGGGGGGGGCTTTTAACTTATTAGGAAACAATTTGAAATTTTAAGTGTTATTTGACTCTTAGCTTTAGGGGCAGTTTCAGTCACAGATATGGGCAATCAGTCTCAAGTCTTCACTTTCCCAGTAAACCCAGGCTCTGCTTAGGCAACCAGACACTTGTAAGAGACATTATATTCTTGAGATGGCAGCTAACCAGAGCAGAATTAATAGTTATGGCAGCAGCAAATGTCTAGCTTGGAGAACAGCTGTTTTTGGCGCAGAGTTTATGAAGCCTGTTGGATTGTACACTCACAGGTAGTGTGCCAGCGTCTGTTGGTTAAGGTACATACATGTACCAGGGCTTGCCCTGTTCCTGTCTACACTCAACTGTTTGTGCCTTCAATCCTATAAAACTAACCGAACTCCCAATTTTTTCGTAATTAAACACCCAACATTTTCAAACATGATTTGCCAGTAAAACCATAAACCTTGTGAACTACCTGAGAGTGTATTGTACTCATAGTAGGATTCCCACAAATCGTCCACCAGACCTGTAGGCTAGCCCAATACCTCATAGACACATCGCTAAAGTGGAAACAACATAGTGGGTGATTACTAATGATATATCGTTCAAGTTTCTGCCATATCGAATAGCACTGCTGATGGTGATTCTTAACATAGTCGACATGAGTTATAAAGATCTATTTGACTCCATAGGAAGGACAACAATCAAACATTTTCAGAGACACCTTGATGCTCTAGCGGCCGAAATCACCGGCTAGATCTGCAGCATTTGTAAATATAATTATCTTCACTTTGATGGATTCTGCTATTTTAGCATTATTATTATGTTTAATTGGAACGTTATTTTTGGTTTGGATTTTCACTTTTGATTGGTAATTTGTTTGAATTTGGATGTATATTTTACATTTTATTTTATTTGTTGTAATGTCTATAACTTTTCTATGTTTCATATTCTGCTTTTTATATGTTTTGCTCCCCAGTGGCACAGCGGTATGTCTATGAACTTACAACGCTAGAAACCGGGTTTTAATACCTGTGGTGGGCGGAGCACAGATATCCCATTGTGTAGCTTTGTGCTTAACTTCAAACAAATAAAATTATATGTTTTAAATTCGTAATGTCTTTTGTTTTATAGTGAATACATGTCCGATTTTTTGCAATATGTATTTTTATGCATTATTTTTTGTTTCATTTTGTTTTGAATTTATTTTGATTTTATTTTATTTTTGAGTTGCCTTTCGTTTTATTATGTGATTATACTTTAAATATCTG